CCTGAACCCAGACTCCTCGGTAGAGCGTGTTCTTTCTGGATAAAGTGCATCCAGAGATTGGTCAGGGCACGCATGTCAAGATTCCCTTTGCTAGTCAGCCCTGCCTGAGGAACAGTAGTGGCTGGACAAGCAGAGGAGGGTGCCTGCAATTAACCAGGGAGAGAACGTTCTGTGAGAATGCAGTAAAGGTCTGGGGCAAAAATATCTGTGTGCAGAGGGCTCAAGTTCTTAGTGCACCACTAAGTACACTAAGTGACTTGGACAAGTCACTTGAGCTTTCTGCTTCAAATTCCTCATTATAAATTGGGGATGTGATGCCAATCTTAAAGGATTGTTGAGGATAAAATGCAAAATATTTGTGTCTGTAATATGTAAACTGTAACACACTAATCAGATGGGAGTTGTTGCTATTAATAATGACAATGACAGAAGATCAGGCCGATACTAAGATTTTCAATCTTGAACAGAGATGCTACACAAAGGAAATGAAAGTGTTTATACAGTTTTTATGTATAAACTGTAAAGCACTTATACATCAAAGGAATTTTAGGAAGCCTTAGGTTGGTGATGGGCTCTGTCATGGGTGGGTGCACTGCTGACCTGGGTGGGGGATGACACTCCATGTCCCCAGATGCCTTCCTGTGAAAGTGTTTGGAATGGCCAAATAACCTTGACTGTCCTCTGGCCACTGAACTGGCAACTCTCCTGATGGCCTTCCATAGGCAGATGTCCTTCCAGGGAAACTGGAACCAGATGTACTCAAGATCTCAAAAGAAATTAATGGCAATAAGACTCTGGGGTAAAAATATCTGTGTGCACAGAGCTTGCTCACTCAGCTCCCTTTCTATCTAAGGATCATTTAGGCTTAATTATAGAGTTCAGGCATTCATTGGGTTTTTGATTAATTTTCTTTTCAGTTTGAAGAGTGTGTGAGTGTGGTGGGTCTGTGTGTGTGTTTACATCTTTCTTTGCAACTCAGTTGGGAGCTGACTCTTGCAATGTTTAATTGTGCCCTCAGTTCTAACAAGCATGTTCCATGTGCCAACCAGGGCTTAGAAAGCCATTGTTTCCACTGCTTACTCCCCAAAGGCTGCTCTTGCCATGTTGAGGGATGGCGGGTGGCAGGGCCTTGTTCAGCTGGGACCTCAGCTGCAGGATGCATGCTTTCCTTCTCCTTTTTGGCCTTATGGTGTTTAAGGGATTCTGAGACCAGGAGAGCAGATTTCCTATTCCACTGATTACCAGTACTCTGCTAAGAGATGCTGAGTGACAGCTAGCTCACCCACACTGCAGCCCATCAGGCATTATTTTCTGGGCTAACCTCTGAAAGGATTTCTTTGCATAAGAAAGCAGCGTTTGTTCTCTTATGTTTAATATGTCCATTTAATAGATTGGGAGAGCCTACATGACTATGAAAATGAAAGTGACTAGCTTTCTCCTTTGTCTTTTGTGCCTTCTAGGCAGGGATGAAAAGAAGAGGGAGAACAGGATAGTGGAAGGGCATAGAATTTGGAAAAGGCCCCATTTGAATCCTGGCTTCTCATATTTTTTTGTTTGTGTATCCATGGGTATGTCACTTAACCTCTTTGGTCTCAATTTGTTATCTGAGAATGGGGATAATAACACTCCTTAGGAGTATTACACTCCTCATAAGAATGTCTGGGGATGAGAAAATGCATGTGGAAGCCTTTTGTAAAAATACTCCGTAAGTTATAGTTCTTTTCTTTTACTGATCAGAATTGCTGCTTAGCACACGATTTTGACCTATGAGATACCATTCCAGCACCAGGAGAGAGGGAGTTGTAAAAAGGTCAGTGGAATGGGAGGTGGGTAGGGGACTAGCCTCCAACCTTCTCATGTGCTGTGGGCTACAGCAATGACCCAGGAATGTAACATGCATGCAGCAAAGAGCCCAGATTAAGGGTTTACCCTCCAAACAGCTGTCACAGATAAAAGGGAATCTGGAACATTCAGATTTTCTTTTACATAATAGTAACAGAGATTTTCTCTTGTTCTTTAAAGGATGGATCCAATTGTCTCTAGTTTTTAGACTCACTGGGTTGTGGGTGAATGGATTAGGGATTAAGATAATGTTCTGGTTGGAGACAAGAGGCTGTGGGTCCTGGCTAAGTGTGACCATGTTGTGAATGAGATGTGGGGCCTTGGCCCTTCAGCTGGCTAGGTATGTGATTCTGAATAGATGACCTAATTTAACGAGGCCTCAATTTCTTGCGAGATCATGGACTAAAAGATCTCAAAGGACTTGATTAAAATTATCTAAGATGTGATGAAATGCTTTTTCCTATGGAATTCAAAACTTGTGCCACTAAGAAGCCATGTGTTGTGTGTGTATGTCTAAGTCCTGAGACCACCCAACTAAAACTTAATCAAGGCACTAAATGAGCCCCTGTAAACTGATGGCATCTGGCATCAGACCCAGGCACTTTCAAGGGAAGGAGAGCTGGACGGGAGGGCAGAGGTGACCTCAACAGAGATTTCAAGGTTAATTCTCTCTTGTACGACAGACTTTGATTTGGCAATATCCTAAGCTGAAAGATAATGATCCACAAATCACAGGAAGAAAAGGGGTCATTTCCTTGTAAAACAACAGTAACTTGAAAAATAATTGGCTACAGGGCAATAGAGCGTTCTGCCAGGCTGACTTCAGAGCTGAGAGACCCAACTATAGAGTTCACAGTGGTATCAATAACAATAATCACAACGTATATGTGCATAGTGCTTTTAACTTTTATAAATACTTTCCCATTTTTTTTTCATTTTGTCGTTACAAAATTTCTCAGAAAACTGCTATGGGGGTAATTTCTTTTAAAACTCTGAAAGGGGTGATTTTTCATGGGAAACAAGTCTAGCTAAGTATGCTATGCCTTGCTTTAGAAATACAGATATGCCTCTGAAAAAGTTATTTGTAAATATAGTTGCATAAGTCATATTTTAATGCACCAGGGGAATCTGAAAACACAAATCTCGTATAGGATTTTGTAATGTAAATAAATTCTCGTTAATCTGTTGTTTGTTACAACTTTGGAGTTTAAAATATTGCAGGTTTTCTTAAAGTGGGGCCACATGGATTAGATTCTAGGATCAGTATCTACTCCCCAGAATCCCACAGGAGTGAAGTTTAATTCAGTCTTGGGGAGAGATTGCTGCCTATGATGTCAGCATGGAAAATAAGCAGCTTTATACTTTAGCCATGGAGCTCTTTGGAGCTGCCTTTCCCAAATAAAACAGGGAAACATGCAAAGAGACAGAGAATTCCAAAAGTAACAGCTGAATTATTTCTATATGAATGTCTGTCTCAGGTCCTTTGTGAGCTACTGATGTATTATTGATGGCTGTTATAAATAACTTGCTATCAATAACTAATCTATAGGACAGTAGTTGATGGTTGGGGTGTGAGGTTAACACTACATACTTTGGAGTAGATCTGTTAGCACTATTATCCATCTGCTAAGTACCTTCCTCTGGGACTAGAATCTGAAATAAATTGGACTAAATTGAATTTTTAATAAAAGTAATAAACCCTCCTGCTTTTTATTCACTATCCACAAACTCTAATAGAAGACAGCCCTTTTTATTCGCTATCCACAAACTCTAATAGAAGACAGCCCTTTGGAGCCAATCACAAGATTGTAAAACTGCTTTGAACTTCAACTTTCTCCCTCTGAAATTAAGTAAGCAGTGTCTACTTGTTAAATCCACAATGACAATGTGAAATTTTTATAATTAGTTTGCATAGGGAGGTAGTGAACAAGCAAACATATATACAACCATATATATGGTTGAATTATTGAGAATAAAGGTACAAGCTCTTTTTTTGTTGGGGGAGGAAGAGTGATTCAAGCTAGAAGAACTGCAGAACTCCTCATTGCAAGGCTGGAAACCTTCAAAAAGAAGTTTTATATTGGCTTGACTAAAGGAAACCTGGCCTCTCATCTTTATTGGTTAAATCTTAGCAATACAGGCTTGCTTAATATGAGTATCTTAGATCTTCTTTAAAGAGCTCTGAAGTTAAGCCTTTGGAAGTACTTTCTCACAAATACTCAAGCAGTTAAATTTGAGCTTCTGTGAAACAGAGCTAAAATAAATAAATATAAATATACAGTGTATGTATATACAAAGGCTACAGACAGATATAGAGGCACTTCTGACAAATATGCTAGCAATTATGCTATATGCAGCCTTGATGTGTGCATGCGTGGGTGTCTATGCATACATGTGTCCATTGTATGTGTTCAGATCATTCAAAAACTCGAAATATAATGAAAATCCAGTTCTTATTTGTTGAAATGTTCTTGAAATCTTACGTGGGTTCATGGCTTATAATTTTTTAAATGTAAATTTAGGGCTAATCATGGGACCAGAATAAGCAGCTGTAAACAAAATCACAGTTAGGATTTAACTAAAACACGGACAGGGTCCCAAATATCATAACTATTGCAGAATATGGGAATTACAAAGCCAAGTACTGTGATTAAAATACTCTGAGGATAAGCAATCTTTTTGGAAAGAGGTGGGTAGATGGAACTAATGAAGTGTTTCCATCTGTTAGTTCACATCAGCACCTTGGACAGTTCCAAGGAGGCTTTCTCCCTCGGAAGGGAGCAAATACCAGTATTTGTCTAGTTTTCTAAGTGCTCCATTCATTCTAGTCAGTGTGTCGATCTGATGATCAACTAATAAGTGAAGAAATATTACTCTGTAATAAAAACTTATTCTTTCCTCTCTCCATCAACCATTCTTTTACCACCCGTTTCCCCAGCACCCCCCAGTCAGACAGCAGGAGTTTGTCTTACGACCACCTGGTGTGGATGTTTTCACTCCTACTTCTAATTGGTTGGGAAGCAGCATTTGCCACAGGCACTGTTTAATTTCGTTTCTATCCCCTGCATCTCACAGGAAAGAAATGGTCAATAGTTCAGATAAAAGAATCATCCTGGTCAGCTCCAAAATATGGCTACTTGCATGGTAATCACAGCAAGTCTGTCAAATCAGTGATTTCTTTATTCCTAAGAGGAAGGGATTTTTCCTAAGGATTATGGTTCTACCACCCAAGGAGCAGCCCTACTCTTCAAAAGTGGCTGCAAAGGCTGGCAAACCAAGAGGTCTGCTTTGGCTCAGAAACTCAGTTTGGCTCCTGCCACCCCTGGCACCCCTCACTGCATGTTTCAGAAGCGTGTGATCCACACACAGTCAGGCCAGTCTGCTTCTACTTAGGAGGGATCACAACCAGAGGTGGACCCCGCTTGGGCCTCCACATGAGGACCTGGGCATCATTGGCATTGGGTTTCACTAGTGCATTAGGGGGGATGGGTTCCATCCGGCTCAGGATCCGGGGCTGCTCCTGCTGAGTCCTGCCCACCAGCCGGGCCCGCTGCCCCAAGAGCTGAAGAGGGTCCACCTCAATGTCCACCCTCATCCTCCACTTGATGGTCTGCAGAATGATCTTCTCCTTTGTGGTGGTATTCATGGCCACCAGCCAGGTCGTGAAACTTTGGTCTCTCTTGATTCTTGTGAGCAGCGGCACATTGCTGTCGCTCACAGGCACTGCCCATGTCACACTGGGGTAGAAGTTGTCATTCATGCTGACGGAGAACCTGGAGATCTTGTTGGTGGGGCCAACCAAGGTCACAGTTTCTGTGGTGTTCCCGTACCAAGGGTAGCTCACCCCATCTGAGTCACTGATGGCTTTTACTCTCCCTTCCCTCAAGTCAGGCAGTTCCCAGCTTGACCTGGCAAAGCAGAAGACATGCACAAGAAAAGAGGCTGAATGAATTTTTCAGAAGCTGCAGAGGTGTTCACTGCTTACTAACATCGTCAACTTGGGCAAAATGGGAAGTTCACAGGGGGAATTCAGGTCAAAAAGTTCTATGCTGTGCCATTTCAGAATTAAATGAGAACAAACCAAAATAAAAATAACAAAGCCATGCCAAAACAAGTTAAATACAACCACAGCTGACCCAATTGAGAACAGGAAGCTCAAAGAGGCAGTTGTGAGACCACACAGAGACATCAACTAGTTGGATGATGGTAATCAGCAGTTTAGAGGAATTCTTCTGCAAGAACCACTTTCTTGGAAATATGAGTGTGAGTAAGGTTTGTTTTTTGGAAAGAAATGGTGGTTGAAATTCGATGAATCTGGAAGGCAGTATCTGGAGGAAAGAAGGGCAAAAGGAGGCAAAGTTAAAGGTTATACTAATTTCTTAGGAAACCACAGTAAGAATTTCTACTCAACAAAGAGGGTTGTTTAGCTTCTAGGCATCAGCCAATCCATCACTTAGAAAACACAGGCATAGAAAATCTAACACAAGGAAATCATGGTCATCTTCTGGAAACCATCTGAATGTGAAAGTTGTTCTAGAGGGTGGCATACACTCTAATGCACTGCCTTCCCATTGCCTTCCAGTCCAGCCTGGAAGTCTCAGCTTAGTTTCGCAAACTTGCCATTCTGGTACCTACATACTCCTCCTGGCTTCCTCTGACCTTGTACAGAAGGAGGAGGAACCAATGTCTCTTCCCCCTGCCATGGACTGTTGCTAATAATTGACGATACTTACTGAGTGTTACTCTATCCAAACCAATGTGCTAAGTACATTACCTCAGTTAATATTCAAAATACTCCACAAGATAAATTTTTATTTCCATTTTACATATGAGGGGATGGAAGCTTAAAGATGTTAAGGTACATGACAAAGGTCCTACAGAATGCAAGAGGTGAAGCTGGGAGTTGTCTGACTTCGAAGTCTATGGTTTTGACCACTATATCATACTGCCTCCCAAAGTACCCTTACACGGTGCTGGAGGAAGCCAGAGTGGAGAGGACTCGGGCTGTCTAATGACTTAGCAGCTCCAGGACCAGTCATGGAGAACTGGACTGGACCCCAATAAAGGCACAAGTCTAGTCAGCAGAGTCTGGCTATGCATTCTCCATATTTTCACTGCAGGGACCAGGGATGGTGCTAGGTAATAATGGACTAGAATTTAATAATTAAAGAAATGATACTGCTTCATTCATCAGCTAAAAGGTAGTGGTCTTGTTTGATATAAAGTTCTTCCTCCTACGAAGTGACAGAGGATCCTGCAGGGTTTTATACAAGTGGTCCAAAAGGGAGTTACATTGTCAAGCTGGTGCTAACATCTCTGCATCCCTTACTGTCACGTGGATATGGAGACATTAACCACTGCCTCCAACTGGCCCCCCACAGGACCTCCTATGCCAGTCAGCCCCAGCCTGAAGTGAAGGGAGGGCTTTGCTGCCTGGGGAGGAAGTGAACCCACAGCTGCAAGAGCCATTTCTCTTGTCATGCCCTTGGTAGCTGCTGGGAATAATTGCAGTGTATCACGGTTGGCAGACAGTAAGGAAGGAATTGACCTGATGCAGAAAGTCAGAGCTCATTTTGCATATGCTTTTGCAGCTGGGGGTAGTAGCTCCCAGGTAATTCTATGCCATTTCTTACTGTACAAAAGGGAGTGCATGTTGTTTGAGTGGGTCAGAGGCTGGGCAGAGATCCAATCTGCTCACTGGGTTCATGAAATAACCATACTGGAGTCGGTTTCAAGCCCCCATGCAAAGGGCTAAGACAGTTTTTCAGTCACAATACATCTATTTTCTGTGTTGCCTAAATCTTGTTTTTCATTTCGCTTGTGACCAGTCCCTACTGGCCTTTGAGTTCTTCTTTAGGACTGGAGGGCAGGTATTCCCAGCAGTGGCAGATTGTTCTTGCTCTCCCACCCTACACACTGGGCTTACTGTGGCATATTGCCTGGGGAATTTGGTTTTGAGTGGATGTACTTTCTATTCTGTTACAACACTGTCCTTTTCAGGGCTGGCTATCTTGCTGGTGGGTTCAGTGACTTTGTCTATAGAGCCTTTATAGTTCCCATGTTTTTGCCTCCCATCTTCCTGCCCAGAGCTGTGTGAGCAGAGACTTGGGGCAAGGGTCTGCAAGTCAACCTTGTAAGACAAATCATAAAACTTAGTTTGGTCCCAGGTGTTTTTTTGTTTTTGTTTTTGTTTTTTTTTTAAACAGAGATAATACAGTAAAGGCACACTCTTGTGGCTATCTTAGGAGAGAAGGAAAAGGTCCTTTTCTTGGAGGGGTTTCTAGAACAGAGAAATACAACAACAGGCTTCTTAATCATCACATCAGAACAAACAAATCTGGCCACATGCAGTCACTGGGAATAGTGACCCCGGAGGTTACACTTTAGTTCCATCTACACTGCTGCTACTTCTGCAACTGTAGTTTTGGGAATTCCTCAGGTCAGAGGTATGCTTTCTTCCATAGCCCTAGGGAACTAGGATTATATCACTAAGGGATGATTTGATTTTGAAAACAGCCAAAATTCATGATGATTTAAGTCTAGTGAACAGGGAGTTTCTTTCTACTTGAAAAATATCAAAATTTTCCTTTATGAAAAAGATACTAATATACATCCCAAGGCAGTGTCCTTCCCCTCTTCCCTCTGTCTCTCCCTCTCCCCCTCCCTCCCTTTCTCTCTCTCTCTTTTTTTTCCCCCCAAAAAGAGAGTTATGTCTATAAAATGCATGACTGGTTTATGTAGCTGATAAAATGTCTTTGGTAATGGTTTTTTGAGAAGTCTCTGAAAAGTTCCAAGAACAGTAGCACTATTTGAGTCACTCAATGACCATTTAAGGGGACTACTTTGAATGGAATGCTGGAGGCATTTCAAACTCCATATGGCTCAGATTGAACTCATCATTTCCAACATAAACCAAGCCCTCTTCCCCTGTCTCTGCTGCAGGGGAAGTGCTGCCCACTGCTCACCAGATCTTCCAGGTCAGAAGCAAGGGCCATCTTTGGCTCTTCCCACACCCACTGCCACAGTGACTGTATCACTGCATCTTGTGAATTTTTCCCCATACGTGATGCTTAAATTTATCTCCTTTTGGCTGGGCATGGTGGCTTACGCCTGTAATCCCAGCACCTTGGGATCATGAGGTCAGGAGATCGAGACCATCCTAACATGGTGAAACCCCGTCTCTACTAAAAACACAAAATAAAAAATTGGCTCGGTGTGATGTCACATGCCTGTAGTCCCAGCTACTCAGAAGGCTGAGGCAGGAGCATCACTTGATTCCGGGAGATGGAGGTTACAGTGAGCCGGGATTGAGCCACTGCACTCAAGCCTGGGCAACGGAGTGAGACTCCATCTCAAAAAAAAAAAAAAATTTTTTTTTCCCCATCCAACTTTACTGCCTTCACTTAATCCAAGCCCTCAGCATCTCTTACCTGGTTTCTGTAAGGGCGCATAGCTTCTCTCTCTGTATCCAACTCTCAAATCCAACTTTTAGGCTGCCCAAGTGTTCAAATATGCAAACCTGATCATGCTCTTTCTATACATAAAATCCTCCCAAGGCTTTTCTATATGGACATTGTTGGCATCACCCACAGGGTAAAATTCAAGTTCCTCAATAGGACATACATGGCTCTCCATCATCTGGCCTCCCCATCCCCAAACACCATGCTGTTTCTCACCTTCACCGCTGTGCCCTCTGCCTACGCTGTTCTTCCTCCTACTCAAGTTCCACTGTATCTAACTACTCATCCTCTGAGAGTTACCACATGTATCGCCTCCTCTTCCATAGATATATCTACATCTACAGGTGTCAGATCATAACGGTTTATGTGTCTTCCCCATTAGATTACAGGTTTCTTGAGGCTTGGAATTATGACTTATTTTGAATCATTAGTGTCTTGCACATTGCTGGTACATAAAACTTAATACTATTTATTGAAAGAATAAATATTTTATTTGAATTATTTTCATGACTATATTCCTGGAGCCTGGCAGAACTTATATACAACAAAGTATTTCATCAGTTTTATACTTTATATATTCACTCACCTTTAAAAAAAACTAACATCTACTATTCACTTAAGACTCTATTATTAGAATAGTACCATGCCTTGCAATAGAAGTTACTTATCCTTAGGAAAAGGAGGCAAGCCACACTTAAATGAAACTGAATCAATCAGTGAATATGAATGTATTTTAGTGACTACCCATGCCATCATATACCTACATACAAAAATGAGTGTCAGAGACTCCAAGTGATACAGCAACTCAGAGACATGGATAACCATGCAGGCTACAGCAAGGAGAAAGCTTTGTGAGGGGAATGGGATATGAACACTTTGGAATACAGACAGGCATTCCAGGTGAGATACTGCATCGTAGGCTGCAGTGTGATACCAAGCATAAATGTGGAAATGTCCAGGAAACAGAACACTGGGAAGAGCGAAGACACTGCTGGGTGGGCAGGATAGTAACAGTTTGTAAAGCACCTTCAATAATGGGCTTAGGCACCTGGGCTGCATCCTAGACGGGGTGAGACTTTTGCTCAGGAGAGTTAACTATGAGGAAGATTAATGAAAAAGTAGGATTAGAGGGCTAAAGGGAGGGAACGAGGATGTTTAGGAGCTTCTGCAACACTACAGGTGATCTTTAAGGAGGGCTTCATCTAGACTGGTGGCTGAACAAGTGGACAGGAGGTGCCACATATGAGATATTACAAAGGTAGATTGTCCTAGCTTTGGTAAGCAATCTCCTGTTAGAAGAGATAAATAAAAACAATCACTCAGAAGAGCCAAGTATGGTTGACTGTGTGTGTGTAGAATCATTCACAGAAGTAACCAGGCTGTGGTCTCACTGTGCCTGACATTTTGCACCCATCCCTGAACCAAACCACAATGGTATTTCAAGGTGT